GATCATTGAAATTTGACACTACTGATTCCAATCATGATGCGTTCCTGGACGCAGTCACCGTTTATTTACTGTATTCCATGATTCGTCTCGAACCGGTGTTCCTAGCAATATTCCATTAACGACACCTCCCTCTGTCGTAACTTGGTCTATAACTCTTGAAATTTATGTTCAAACCTTAGGTCTTTTCGGATTCGGTAGTAATGTCTGCAGCAAACCATGTCGCAAAAATTGTCTGCTTCCGAGGGATTATTCTATTCCCCATCTTTTCACCGTGGATCAATATCCCTCCGAGAGATAGTTTCAAGTCATCAGGGCGCATCCTACCATCTATAACCTCCACCGAAAATAATCCAGCCCTGGGGCAAGGAAAACCACTGGGGCACGTGTAATTTACCCAGTCCCTGTGGGTTGCATCTGGTCCGGTCGGATTTTAGCGAAACTTGCTATGCTCAAATGTTGCTCCCACTACTGGCTTCTACCACCACAAGTATGGGCCTAAGGGCACAAATATTAGTAGAGTTCTAAACCCAGAACTGCGGGTGTTGCTGAGCTACACACATATACCGAAATCTTGTGATTCTAAGATTCCATGGACTGAATTTTTGCAACGGGCTCGCATCGGATCGGGCCAATATTGCTAGTCAGCTTGGCGGATATTGAGAAGCCCTCATGCAGCCCTCCAGTCAGTCCTGTTGCAAGCATTCATGGAGTGTGTTAATTCACTCTTATTGGCTGTGCTGTGGCTCAGTCCACCCACCGAGGACATGACTCGTCTTTTTCCCATCTTTCTTTCTCGCGAATCATCATAGTGGTTCTGCGACTCCCATTCTCCTTTCGGCCTAGAAACAGACTGAATTGCGTTATTTTGGTAATCGAATTCAAAGAGGAATAAAAGATGAAGGTTGAAAGAGAGAGATCACATCAAAGGATCGATATTTCGATCCGAACAAAGCCGAACAACATCACTGCCGTGTCACGATCCACCAGACGATGAGGACGTCCTCAGCGTCAGTCACTGTCAGTCGCCACCGAGCAGACTTCATGGCCACCCTGGACTAGCGGGGACAACTTCGGAGAACGATTTGTTTTTACAAGCATTCAAGAACGACATGAAGCTACAAGACCGTTCAAGTCGGGTATCTTTCTCCTGCTCAGAATCTCAAGTTAGAACGTTGCCGCCGCCAAGTTAGACGCCAGTGTGCTGTCTTTGAACGGCACGGTGGCCACTCCAAAGTCTGTGGTCTGCAACGCCGCCTGCGCCGCCGCAGGGAGGCTCTCCCACGCGATGAGCGGGCCGCTAGGGCTCTGTTTTTAATGCCTGTTTATAAACATGTTTATAAACACGTGTTTATAAACCGGTTTTTATATGGTTGAGCCAGGACCCCCGGTTTTTAATTCACTGTGGCTGTGCCTTGGAGGGCTTCAAGGGCCAAATTTTGACTCAAAGCAGGGCACCAGCTGGACTAAATATATTTCCCTGAGTGTTGCCTGACCTCGGGTGAACAGGCTGACCTGAAACCATTTGGAAATATGACCCCAAATAGCTGAGGCTCGGTGTTTGTTGACCTCTGCGACATTATTCTGGTTTGAAGACATGCATATTGGACTCAATTTCAACTGCTGGGGCACCAAGAACCGCAGAAACTTGCGAGAAACTCCTCAAAACCCAGTTTTGGGGCCCATTTAAGTGAGTGTTTATAAACCGGTTTATAAACACCCTGTTTAGGAACACAGAATAAAAAACTGTTTATAATCCGCTCAGGAATTATAAACAGAGCCCTATGAGCGGCTGCGTGCCGCCCACGGTGGTCGTGAGGCCCATCGCGTGGTTAGTCGGGATGATGCTTTCGTACTGGATCAGCGGGCTCGTCCCCGTGAGCGAGAAGTCGTCGGTGCTGCAGTTCCAGCCCCCGTGCGCGGATGGGCACACGGCGAGGATATTCGCGGCGCTGGTACTCGTGGACGAGGCGAGCCATACGATGCATCCTTCCCAATCATGCTTGTGACCGAGCCCGTCGCTCGGCTCGTCCTTCGGGAAGTACCACGAGTAGAGTAGGCCGAAGCGCCCGTTGGAGGTGCCGCTGCGGACATACACCTGCCCGGTGCTGCTGCTGCAGCCGCCGTTGGTCGCGCCCGTGGGATTCAGGCCGCCGCTATGGCGGCGAATCAGTGCGCGGTTTCTGAATGGAGGGAGGTGGCACGTACCCCGTGTTCCCTGCAGCATCGACTGCGGGGAAGGGGACACAGCCGTTCACGACCTTCAGGTGCGGCTTATACGCCAGATACACGCTACCGGCTGTACTGGCGGGAACTGTCTGCAAAAACCCCACGACTGCATCTGAATCGATGACGGCGCGCTCCGACAACGGCGACGCGGCGACTACGGCAAGGAGACCCAATTTAATAGTCTGCTTCAAGAGATGGCGTAAAGACATTCCGGGACGACGAGTTGGATGAGGTGTGAGTCTGAGTACCGGCAGACTGACATGGAAGGACACTATCTGAACTTATATAAGTAGGGCATCAAACCGTGCGTAATATGCCTACGGGCGTAAAGATTACGCCCGTATTTGGCCTACGGGACAGCCGTGCGTAAGTCGGCATGTCGGAAGGTTCAGACGGGACGGGTCCCGGGTGTATAGCCGTAGACGAGCGTAATTTACGGGTGGTCGAGTGATCCTACCAAATCGACAAATTTCAAGCGAGTTATGAACTATATTTGTGTGAAATACGTTACCTACGGTGATGAACCATCCGAAACAACTTCCAGGAATCCGGGTGCGTCTGGGATGCGTCGAGGCCATTTCTCGGCAGGTCAGCGGAATTTCGGACACGTCCGACATGCACCTCACGGCCTGCCGAGGGCCCCGGAGACTGTCAATTGTCATAGGAGTCGACAGCCGACTCCACCGCCATCCAAGCAAGCGGATGGCGAACCTCGGCAAGCAATCGACAATAACAATTGCGCCCGCCAGGCGCCACCCGTAATTCACGCGTAAACGCACGGTTACGGATGCCACATTACACCCCACCCCGTGCCGTTACCCGTCTGACCGTCTAGAGGTCGTAACCGTACGCCCCGTAAACCCGTAAGGTTACGGGGATCTCTCTTTTTTTTTTTTTGGAGTGTTTGGGATAATGAGACTTAGTCGGCAGAAGCATTCCAAGGTCATCCACTTGTGTTGCTGGTGGTGGACCAGACATTGCCGGGGAAGTTTGCTCAGGAGGAAATGCCGTTACGCACAATTATTTAAACCAGTGTGGGACTCCGACCCGAAAATACAATTTATCCTATCCTATGTTGATCAATGATGGGTTGCATACCCACTAAAACCCCCTCTTTTGTCCAGTCATCTGGCAGTGAGTCCTCAACCAGTAGTAGACCACTCCAAGTGCTTAGCACCAGTTGTTTATTCAAGGCTAAAGAATCAAATCTGACTTTGTCTGTCAACAGGAGGTCCCGCTGTAATGCTCAGTTTATAGTGTTCAACCACTGGTTATAAATTTCTGCTGAGGTTAATATTCTGTCTGGATTTGCAATGACATGGTTGACGTGGAGGTTCCAAATCAGGTGCCATGCAGATGATACCAGAACTGCAAATAGTCTTCCTTTCGCATGAATGATGTGTTCTTGGGTAGTCTCTGTAACAGATACCCTATATTGATGACGAACAAGTAAGTATCAATATAGGGTCTGTTAGTAAACATGACCATCTTGTTGGCCCACCGATCAAATTCCTTCTCGCATTTTGCCTCCGCCTCGACGCGCTGATAAATCTGAGAATATTTGAGCATACAGATCTACTTCCAATTCAGAGGCCCCTCCCTTAAACCTAAGAATTTCCTTCATTCGTTGTCGCGATATAAGCTGAGTTTTCTGAAGCATTTTACATAAGCAGCTTTTTGGCCTGATCCTGTTCTGGAGAAGTGACTGGCTGAATCGAGAGATTCTTGCGGGATAGAATGTTTGAGTTTGCTCCAGGAGTCTTTACAAATATTTCCGGATTTTCGACGAGGCCCATCGCTGCAATACAGGCGAACTGGCCGTCGGCTGGCACAGCCACCATATTGCGTAATCAGTCGGTCGCCCAACAATCGGACCGTGATTGCTATCAGCTAGTTCTTGGGGTGATTTAAATTTTACAAGGTTGGATCCTAGTATCAATCCCCAGCTCAGATCAGGCCATCGGTCATATTTTAGTGTCCAAAGTTGTTGGGTGAAAAGCCAGATCAGCTTTTGACCCGATGCACCACACTCCAATGCAATGTGCTCCAGAGATTCAGGAACACCACATGTGTGGAAAATACCTTTTATTTTTGAGTTCTTTATATGACTCCAAAAATCACTGAGTTTGAATGTATTAGACAGGTTGTGCAAAAGCCGCACAAGCCGCATGCGGCTTCATGCGGCTTTTGGCATTGTGCAAAGCCGCGGGGAGGATTTCAATATCCCGAACCCATAAGCCCACCGGAAATGACTCATATGAATATCATTTCGAATGTTCTGTCCATGCGGCTATCCAATCAAATCCAGCGAATATAATGATTTGTCCTTGAGTTTCCGCGTTGATTCCACAGCACCTACAAGCTGAATGACAAATGGAACAGCCATCCCATAGTCTAAAATACTTCCCTCCACTCAGCAGGTTCACTGAATGTTTGACCCTTCGTAGATGAACTCGGAAAATCTCCGTGGCTTTGCACAATGCCCAAAAGCCGTGTGCGGCTTGTGCACAACCTGTCTATTGTGTATACATTTCCAAAAGAAATCCCAGGTTAGTCGTTGGAAAGTTGTAGATTGGAAAACTCTGCAACAGCGCACCTGATACGATCCAGATTTATAAAGGCGGCCTTTGCTGGAACTCGCACTTGGACACAGTCTTGCACATAATCACGAGATCCAAGGCGGTGATCTCAGAACTCACAGTCTGCTGGGATTGTACAACACACCGAATCTCAACAGGCTCATATAAGCTATTGCAGGACTTTCATCTGCACAGACACCGATGGTGAAGCAGTTATCATGCTTGCCTTCCATATCAGACATTGATTCTTTAAGCAAGCGGCAGGGGTTTGACTCCCCTTCGGTGTATCTTTTTTTGCGCACCATGCATGCTCTGCCTCCCAGGTATCCTCTCACCTTTCCGATGTATTCTGACTCCCCTGCAACATTATGTCATCGGTAAGTAAGTAATATATTAAAGCTACATTTCGTGTGTGGATGCATTCATCCTTTCATGTGAAGTCCTCCCCTCCGTGTCTCGATGCAATAAGCGCACCGAGTGCATTAAATCATGTGGTTGTGCTAATCGTCTCACTATCATGCCTCGCCCCGCCTCACCGCGCTGCACTGTGTTGCTCCTCCCCTGGTCACATACAGATACCAAATCGCGAGGTTGTGCGCGTTACCGCAACTCCTCCGGCCACTCCACCCGCCTCCGCGGGCGCCCGTCCAGCGCGAAGCGCAGGTTGGGGACGTAGTGCAGGCCGTCGCCGAGGGGGGGCGCCTATTGGGACTGGGAGGTGTGTCAGCGTGGGGTGGAGTAAGCAAAGGAGAGAAGGAACGAAGGGGTGGGAGGGAGAGGGGAGGGAGGCGGGAAACAACAGTCAGGAAGGGGACAGAAGGATGGGGGGAGGGAGGAGGAGGGGAGAATAAAGGGCGATAGGAAGCCGAGCGAGATTCCAAAGAGATGGCAGGGAGGTAGGAGAGAGACAGATGGAGGGGTGCATCCACGTGGGGCGGCAGGATGCAGGAGGAAAGTCGGGGAGGGCGGGGAAGTGTGCAGAGGGCGATATAAGCACCCGCAGAGACGCGCGCACCCATCCCCAAAACAAAATACCAAACTTTACAGATTTTAAACCAAGCTCAGGGATCTTGGGCTACAATTTGAAGGGATCAGTTAATTGAGATGATCTGTCAAACCGGCCTTCACCCATGCATGGGGACTCAGTTGCCATACTAGTACTCCTCCATTCATCTATGAAAGCAAAAGACAAGAAAGAAAAAGAAAACATTGTGTAAGAATATGTGAAAAATGTGCTACACATGTCTATCACAACCCAGCTAGTAGATGTATGCATGGCTAGATACACTATACATGTGGAATGAATGTTGTCCACTGGACTGTCTCATAGGCCGTAGGCGGAAGTGACCTCAGGGTCATGAATGCCAGTGTCAATGTAATGATGCGTGCAAAAATATAGAGAAATGCACCAAAGATTATTCCCCAAACCATCAGCGCCGCTACTTTTTCAAATGCCTTGGCAGCAAAGTGGTACCGGTGGGAGCGCTCCCCTTCCCCCAATACCATCAAGCCCACAATTGAAATATAAAATGGAACAGCAATCATGGCTGCACAGGAAATCCGCCAGAGGATGACTTCTGTATGGGATGGGAATGAGAGGGGCCATGCAATGCAATGGATAGCACCAAAAAGGAATCCAATCAGTAAAGTAATGGTATCAGCACGTGAAACAATCTTTTCGTCATCGCAGTCTGACCAGAACATGGGAGCCGATGGTATCCGGTCAGGGGGAAGGGTTCGGTCTTGAGCCCCTACTATGACCTTAAGTGCATTGATCATGTTCATCGGCCTCTGCTGCCACATCCGTTGTGGACGCACACCCTGCCCACCAACCACTCGAACAGGACACCCAATGTTTGAAGGTTTCTTCCACCAGAAGAAGTATATCGCAAAGTTCATCATCGCATAGGCACCTGTGACAATTTCCAATTCGGTGATCGCAAGATGCTGGATCCCTCGTGCAATGCATTGTGTCAAAAACCAAGTCGTTTGAATGAGAACGAAGGACTTGGCCAACCAATCGCTTTTGCCTCGGTCCTTTATTTCATCCTCAGTGGGTACAATGAACTGATAGTCACTACCCAGCGAGAACAACTGCCTTTCCGTGAGCATACGGATGGGATTATGGTTTTCCTGTGGATCGTAGATCAATCTGCACGGGGTTGGGCAGAATGGATTCCCGGATATCGGTGAGTTGGGTGGATCAGTAACAGAGGCCCGTTGTAGTAGTTGCCCAGTTTCATCAGGGATATGGGAAGGAGGTTCGAAGAGATGAAACCCTCCCATGATGACGAAAAATCCATGAGTGACCGTCCAATTCGAATCTAGGAACAAAGGCAAGTGTGTCGCGTCATCCATGTGAAGTGTTAAAGTACTAATACACACACCTTTATGTTTCCGGGCGATTTGATGCGCCCCGAGGTGTTGTCTTATGGCCCATGCTAGGATATACTCTGGCACAAGCAGAGCAATTACAAACAACAACATTCGGTTGGAGAGGAATTCCCAGAGGGAATGCCGCAACCGCTGCATCAGCGACATTTCCCGTGTGCTGACCGGCCTCGGGATATTCGGATGCACTGCAACCCAAGTGCACGAGAAGATTGTGACAAGGCAGCTCCATACGATATTCCAAGTCGTTCTGCAATCCTCTGCATCGGGACAGGAAGAGCTCGAAGCGTGTGCTGCGATGGAGGAAGGGAAGGAGTTGCCGTTGATGGGACGCGAGCCAGCGAAGGTGGCCTGACCGATGGAGTAGATCAGGAGGAGCAATAGCATAAGCGATAAGGTAGAGCCCGTGGCCAGTGGTGGTTCGGATTCACAGTTCGTGGTGGTATTAAGGAAGGGGGCGACTGCGGTGCCAGGCAATGCAGCACTGCCAACGGGTCACGAGGTTCGCGGTGATTCAATAGCGGTCGTAGCAGTTAACAAGCGCCGAATAGCCCGGAAATGAATCCAAAGGCGAGGCAATTCTGGTGCCGTACCAATGGAATACCAGTATTCCGGAAAGGCGTGGCTTCCGGAGGTTCCGTATGCTGTGATGGCACTTGATATTAATCGCGACAAGACAACCCTCCGCTTTGCTCCGGTATTCAAGAGCGCAAGAGTAGCGCTGGCAAAGTTCGGTTCGGTTCAGGTTCACGGCCTTTCACTCTGACAACCTCGGCCTTTAGGCCTACCCTACTCGAAGACAGCGGTGAGGTACAGACCTATCACATTGAACGTCTCCTTGAATAAACGAAACATGCTGTACTCCGAGGCCTGCCGGGCAACGAGCCTAGAACTCACAGCAGCGGAGACGAAGCTCAGCGGCCGATATAGCCCATTGCAGGGCCTCAATCTGCACAGACACCGATGGTGAAGCGGTTATCATGCTTGCCTTCCATCATAAGGAAATAGAACCGTGGTAGCAAGCGGCAGGGGTTCGACTCCCCTTCGGTGTATATCTTTTTGCGCACCACGCATGCTCTGCCTTCCAGGCATTCGCTCACCTTTCCGATGTATTCGCCATTGTGACTCTTCTGCAACACTGTGTCATCGGTAAGTAAGTAATATATTAAAACTACATTTCGTGCGTGCATGCATTCATCCGTCCATGTGTATGGTGTTTCCGGCGTCCTCCTCCGCCGACGCTCATAATTAAAGTATAACGTGGGTCCCGCCCCTCCTCCCCTCCGTGTCTCGATGCAATAAGCGCATCGAGTGTATTAAGTCGTGTGGTTGTGCTAACCCCCTCGCCACCCCGCCTCGCCCCTCCTCATCGCCCCGCGCCGCACTGCTCCTCCCCCCCCTGTCGCACACGGATACCAGATCGCAAAGTCGTGCGCGTTGTTACCGCAACTCCTCCGGCCACTCCGCGCGCCTCCGCGGGCGCCCGTCCGGCGTGAAGCGCGGGTTGGGGACGTAGTGCAGGCCGTCGCCGAGGGGGGCGCCTATTGGGACTGGAAAGGTGCGTCAGTATGGGATGGAGTAAAGCAAGGGAGAGAAGGAATGAAGGGGTGGGAGGGAGAGGGGAGGGTGGCGGGAAACCAGAGGGAGAAGAGTCAGGAAGGGAGGTGGAGGGGAGAATAAACGGCGATAGGAAGCCGAGCGAGATTGGTAGGGAGGGGATGGAGAGGTGGGAGAGAGACAGATGAAGGGGTGCATCGGTGTGGGGCAGAGGGACGCAGGAGGAAAGCCGGGGAGAGCGGGGGTGTGCGGAGGGCGATATAAGCACGCGCAACAATCCCCAAATACCAAAAGAAAACCGACTACTCACACACCCACCCCAGCCCGCCGCGCCCGCCCCGTCCCATCGCGTCCTCCCACCCCGCGCGCGCGGAGCCCGCCCACCACACGTTGCCCTCCGTGTCCGGCGCGCCCCACTCGGCGTCGTAGGACGCGAGCGCGCGGCGTTTTGCGCTGGGGGGAGGGAGGTTAGTTAGTATGGATGGACGGATAGAGGGAAATGAATGAAAGAAGGGAGGGCAGGAGGCGGCGGAGAGGGAGGGGAGGGAGAGGGGGGGGACAAGGGGTAGGAAGTGGGGAGGGAGGAGGCGGAGGCGAGGCGGAGGCGGAGGCGGAGAATATAGGGAGGGAAGAGGGAGTAGAGCGGAAGAAGGGAGGGTACCGGGACGGGGACGAGGACGAGAGTGGGAGTGCAGGAGGAAGCGGGAGAGACGAGGAGGCGCAGTGCAAAGTGGGGCCAAGCGCGGTATGGTGAGACGAAGGCAAGGAGAGCAGGAGGCGGGGAAGGGACAGGGAGGCAGGCACTCGCTCCCAAGTCGAGGGGAAGCGGAGACGCGTGTGGCACCGTGCTAGCGTCCGCGCCCACCCAGTCGCGCCCTACCCCAACCCCAGTCCCAATACCAACGCAGTGCAAGTCCCCTCCCACTCCCACTCCCACTCTCACCGTCACGCGCAGAACAAAAACAGAAACAAAAACGCAAAACGCACCGAACCTGCCAACACCCCAGCCCCGCCGCCTCCAGCCCCGCGCTGTCGCGCTCCTTTACGCGCTTTATGCCGAGGCTCTCGACCTGAGGGGTGGCGCGATGATCGAGATTGTATTCGATTTGAGAGTCGCAAGGGTCGGGAGTCGATGGTGAGAGGGATTCGCGTCGAGTCGCAAGGGTCCGTATCGAGGGTGAGGGACGCGCAATGCAATACCGAGGAAAGAAGGAAAAGGGTGAGCAACACCCAGTCAGCTCCGACTCTAATCGACAGGCGAATGGAAAAGAGGCGCGCACCGTCGTCTGCGACAACAAAATGAGCCGCGTATGCTCCGCGCCGAGCGTGAGCGTGAAGAGCGCGAAGAGCGCGGCGCTGCGCAAACACAAATCCGTTAGCGTAACCTTCTTCCCCGCGTATTCGTCCCTCGGACTCACAGCGCGATAATTACCACCTCCTGCGGGTCCACGTCCGTCTCGCCCACCCCGCTCCCGCCCCGCACGTTGAACGCCAACAGGCTTCCAAAGGTGTATATGGTGAATATCGCGGTGGCGTACGCGAACGCGAGGAAGAACTTGTGGTTGCGCGCGCCGACGCACTGGCCGATCCAGGGGCAGTGGTGGTCGAATTTGAGGATGCACTGGAGGGGGAGGGGTGAGTCGCAGATCCAGCACAGTATACCATAGCCAAACACGTACCGTCCCACAAACCCGACAATGGTGCGCCCGATACGGCTTCACGATCGAGCAGCGCGCGCAGTAGCGGTGCGCCGGCAGCAGCGGCGCGGGCGGGGGGAGGCGGCCGCGCGGTCTGCCTCCTCCTCCTCCTCCTCCTTCACGTCTGCGGGAGCGGGAGGAGTGGCGGCGTCCCGCGGAGGGGCGGCGCGCGGTGGCCGGTGGGGGGAGCTCCCCGTTGGGCGGCGATACTCCATTTGGAGCGTGCGGCGCATTTGAATTGGGCGCAGAACCATGCGCCGCAGGAGGAAGGGGTGCCAGGAGCTCCGCATACGCCGGCCCACCTATCCGCCCCGTCTCGATGTCCGCGAGGCTGCTGTCGAACGACGCGTTGCCGGAGTCGAATTCGAACGAGTTGGTACCGTTGCCGTTGCGGTATGCGTCGTGTGGCGCCCACTGCTGCGGCGGGAGGAGCGGTTGGGGGGATTGGGAGACGTACTGTGTTGATTTATAAGTAACGAGTGCGGTAGGAGGAGGAAGGTGGACGCACATCGCGGGCATTCCCAGGCGGGGTGAGGATTACCTGGTCTGCGTTAGAATTGAATTACAGAAGACACAAGGCCGGCGCAGCACACCTTGATATACGCCCAAAGCATCCACGCATACAGAATACTCCACCCCACCAGCAGCCCGACTATTCAACAGAACAATCATCAGCGGTCCCCCGAAAATAGATGGAATAAACACTCACTTCCCTCAGGCCTCCTCCCCCCGTTCATAAGCCTCACCGCAAAGCGCCCCGCATAGACATACGCGGTGTACCCCATGATCCCGAGCGTAACGAGCACCATGAGCTTGCGCACGGCCCACGGCTGCGGCTTGCGCTCGCGCCGCTCGCGGGCGGAGACGCGCGCCTCGGTTATGGTCCCGCAGAATGTCGGCTTGTCGAGGACGACCTTGTCCATAGCTGGCGGCGCATTTGGCATTGGGGATGACGCAAAATGAAGCCGGGCACAGCCATTGTCACAAAATGAACTGTTGACAGATAGGGGTCGACCTTGTTCAACGCTGTTTTATGAGCTGCTGAGCATGAGGAACACGACCGCTTCAATATTGAATATTGAGAATGCGCAGCTGGGAGTCAAAGAACAAGGTCTGACCGAAAACACAGGATCGAAAAAAGATACACCGAAGGGGAGTCGAACCCCTGCCGCTTGCTTCAAGGGAAACATATTTGTAATGAAAGGCAAGCATGATAACCGCTTCACCATCGGTGTCTGCATAACTCCCCTCCCTGTAATGGCTGATATCGGCTCGTTGAGCTTCGGCTGAAGTTCGAGTGTGTTGTAAGTTTTCAGCAAACGCATGGCTGCCCGGACAGAAGGTGTGGCTTTCTCAGGCTCTCTCTCTCCATCTGCCAAAGCCACGTCCCGCTCAATAGGTACTCGATACTGGGTGAAAACTATCCAGTTCATCTATTGTGTCCAAATAGCCTTAGGCTCGTTGCCCGGCAAACAACAGGCCTCGGAGTACAGCATGTTTCGTTTATTCAAGGAGACGTACAAAGTGATCTATAGGTCTGTACCTCACCGTCTTCGAGTCTAATCGTAAGTATAGAGGGCGGAGTGGCCGGAGGAGTTGCGCGATTTGGTATCCGTATGCGACAGAAGGGAGGGAGGAGCGCGGCGCGGCGCAGTGAGGAGGGGCGGGGCGGGATGCGAGAGGGTTAGCACAACCATACGAATTAATACACTCGATGCGCTTATTGCGTCGAGACAACGGAGGGGAGGAAGGGCGGGACCACGTTAGCGTCGGCGGAGGAGGACACGGGGAACGCCATACACATAGACGGATGAATGCATGCACGCACGAAATGTAGCATTTAATATATTACTTACTTACCGATGACATAGTGTTACAGAGGAGTCAGAATGGCGAATACATCGGAAGGGTGAGCGGGTGCCTGAGAGGAAGAGCATGCGCGGTGCGCAAAAAGATACACCGAAGGGGAGTCGAACCCCTGCCGCTTGCTTACATTAGAAATAGGGACGGCGCAATGGAAGGCAAGCATGATAACCGCTTCACCATCGGTGTCCACTGTGTCAGGGATCAGTCCAGTGTTCACCAAAGGTAGCTCTCCGTCTCTCCGGACAGATGCGACAATGCTTTATCGCTCGATAACCCCGCGCACCGTTGGCCCTATATCTATCGAGTCTCAAATATCATTAAATTATCGAACAACACAACTCGTTTGGAGTCTATCGTAGCGGCGCGGGGAAGCAAGAGTTCGACGAGGTTGAATCCTCGTAAACGGGCGGGCAGGCAACACAAGTCGAAAGAAAGCTGGGATATAAATGTCCGATATTTATATTATGACATAGGAGTTGTAGGAAGTACTATCATCCCTCCTCGAATAATCGGGAACAACCACATCAGTAGAACCACTGTTGGTTGGGGTTGCTACCCGGAGCCGCGCAATCCCACATCTGGATCTAGAAAAGGGTCAACCACAGCTCCTTGGTGCCGGAATAAACAAAAAACAAAAAAACGCACGGGATTGCCATTCTTGAGGGCCCCATCAGTCAGGTCGGCGCACTTGCCCTTCCCGCTCCACTCGACCTGCCCGGTGCCGCGCCCGATCTTGAACATCTGGTTCGTATTTCCCGGCGTGCACGTCCAGAGCTGCAGCTTCACGCCGTTGGCGGTCGACCCGCTCGGCACGTCGAGGCAGAACTGGTTGTTGAACGTCTTGATCTGGCCCGCGAGCGGGGGGACGGGGACGGTCCAGGTGATGTTGCCGTTCGGGAACGTATTGTGGAAGTCGGCGTTGTTGAGGCACT